GTATTTTCCATTGCACGGTTTATAATATTATACCCATAATTTTCACTGCATGGTATATAACATTACGCTGTATTTTCTTTTATACTGTATATAACAGTGGTTCTCAACTTTCCTAATGCCGCTACCCTTTAATACAGTTCCTCATGTTGTGGTGACCCCACCAGCCATAAAATTATTTCTGTTGCTACTTCATAACTGTCATTTTGCTACTGTTATGAATCGGATGACCCTGTGAAGGGGTCATTTGACCCCAAAAGGGGTCACGACTCACAGGTGGAGAACCACTGGTATATAACATTACAGCTGCATTTTTCACTGCACTGTATATAATACTACACCTGCCTTTCACATCACACTATATATAATATTACACATGTATGTCCCATGTCCTGTATAACATTATACCTGTATTTCCCACTGCACTGCAAGCTCCATGTAGCTGGGGACCCTCGCCTGTGCCATTGACCACTGTGTCCCAACTGCTTAACATACTGCTTGGCTCACAGCAAACCTACAATAAATATCCATGGAGGGACCAATGATAGATGTGGACAGGTGTCTGTCCCAGGCTGATTCATGTGGTTGGTTCAGATGGTAAGAAGCCCTGGTGCCTCAGTGGTTAAGCGCTTGACGGAGGCCCAAAAGCCCAGTGTTTCAAACCCACCAGGAGAAAGAGGTGGCCTGCGGGACAGTTCTAGTGCCTCCCACAGGGTCACTAGGAGCCGGAGTCGACTCCGTGGCAGTGGGTCGGCACCAGGCGGAGCCCTGGTTTGACCCTCCTAGCTGCTTTGCAGGAGAGAGACGTGGCAGTCTGCTGCTAAAGATTACAACCTGGCAAGCCCTTTGGGACACTTCTGCTCTGTGCCGAGTGCCGCTATGAATTGGAACGGACTCAGTGGCAGTGGTTGGCCACCCAAGTGAGGTTTGGCTCCTTACTGATCTATGCTGGCTTCTCCTTGAACGTTAACTCAGTCATGACTGTGGCCCATCCTTACCATCCACCAGCTCTGGGCACGTGTTCAGGTACACAGGCGAATCTAAGTGCGTGTGCACAACCTCATGCGTAGAGACCGTCAGCCACCTCTTTTCACAGCTCCTCTTGGTCTTAAGATCGGAGCCTTTTGGCTCTTGTTGGCCGGTCCTGCTTCTGAGCCTGTCTAGAAAGGAGACAGGGCACTGCCTACTGCTATGGGGAGAGATGCATGGCCTTGTGGGAGTTTCTACATCCTCGGGTGTCCTGGCGAGCATCTGCACATCTGTTCAATGCCTCTCTCTCTGACTGGAGCCCTGTGTTGGCCTCCTTCTTGCCTATCTTGCCCCAGCCCCTCCCCCCTGCCATGAGCTGGGGCTCACATAGAAGCCAGAGGCTAAGCCGAGCCTCCTTCCTCCCCGGTCTGCCCACCTGCTGGACTCTCCAATGGAAGTTCCCTCCTTTCAGGCCCTCCAGGAGAATGGCTGGGATTTCAGACTGCTGCTCAGATACACAAAGCTGTGGGCCAGGCTGATCCAGGGACACGGTCCTCTGGAGGCCCTGGGGTGGCCATGGCACAACAGGCAGGGAGATTCATGCATGGACTGTGAGGTCTTTGACCATGGCGTCTTGCCTTTGGGGGACAGATTGAGCTGGGCGGGGGGTGGGGGTTGGGGGTGTTGGGTGCTCTCATGCCACAGGGTTCCCAGCCTGCCTCAGCGCCTCCCCTCCTGCCCAGAGCATGCCTTGCACCAGCCTTTGCCCTGAACTTTGTCCCTTCCCAGTAATCATGCTCTGCTCCACCCTCCACCCAGACCAATGAGAGGCCGGGAGAGGAGAGGCTCATGGGGGTGTGGGGAGTGGAGATGCCTTCGTGCCCAAAGGCCAGATTGCAACAATTCCACAGTCCTCTGGGGCACCAGCTCCCTGCAGTCCCTGGGGAGGACAGGTGGGTACCCTCGATTCTCTGAGGGTTTGGATGTGTCTGGAAGGTACCCACAACTTTCTACCAAACCTGGCTTGTTCCACACACGTGGCCATGTCTTTCCCACCAGTTGCCCAGCCCTGCTGGTCTCCCACTAATGTACCCTGAGGGTATTGGTCAAGACCTGTGGGGTTCACAGATCTGCCTGTGGAAGTGCGCACCCCCCCCCCCAAGTGACCGTGAGCACATTGCTGCACCTCTAGGAATCTCTGCCTCTTGATCCCTAACTTAAGAATCACTTCTCCTAGTGCGAAGATGAAATGAGGCAACTCACCCCTGGTGCACACCTTTTCTGAGGACCTAATAAGTCACATTCTGGAGCACTTAGTGCTGTGTGCTAAGCTTTGGACTGCTCATCCCAAGGCCAGTGGTTCAAACCCACCCGCTGCACCTCCAGAGAAAGATGAAGCTGCCTGCTCCCAGGAAGAGCCATAGCCTGGGACCCTCCAGGAGCCCTTCAGCTCGGTGGTGTTGACTGGGCTGCAGCGAGTTGCAATCAACTCCATGGCTGGGTTTGTTGAACACATTGCGGGGTGTTGGGTGTCCAGTCAGGATGGAAGCAGCCTCTGGTTCCTAGTAGCTCCCAAACTCACCGCGCTGTAGGACAGAGCGGGACTGCCCACTGGGGGCGCCAAGGCTGGCATCTTGACAGAAGCAGACTCACTCCTCTTCCAAACTTTTGATTGGCATGTAAATGCTAAATCACGATCCCAGGAAAGGTGGAAACTACTCTCTCCTTCTCCCTGTCCCTGTCTCCCTCTTCCTTTCATGGCTCTCCCCCTTCCCTTCCTCTCTCCTTGTCTTTACCACTCCCTCAGGCTCCTTTCCTTCTCCCCTCCTCTCCCTTCCCCTCCACACCCAGGAATAAGGAGAGTCTCGTGCAGAGGGCTGCACCCAGTGAGGGCATGCTGAGTGAAGGCCTCTTTGAGGAGATGGTGTGGGTCAGGATGCTGAGTTCCCAGACTGGGCAGAGTGGAGTGGGCAGGGCCCGGAGCCCAAAGGCCTTGAAGGCAAGCAGAAGGGGCTCCCCTGAGTGGTCTTTGCTGTGACTTGGGTATGACAGACAGGAGGGGGTGGGCAGATAAGGCTGAGAGCCCCAGCATCAACATCCACCGGGGACTTGACCCAAATGCCAGTTCTCCAGACCTACCGCATCGGACTTGCTGAGCAGGGCCCAGCAGCCTGCATTTCAGCAAGCCCTCCGGGTGATCCCGAACACAGCCATGTTTGCGATCTCTGATCGCCTCTGCAGGAGGTTTGCCTCTTTTCTCCCCCAGGGTGAGAGGAGGCTGTTGGAGGGTTTGAATAAGGGTTAACCATCATTGGATTTATTTATCTTACACGTTTCTTCTGACTGCAGGAAAGCACCTGGGTGGTGACGTGGGATAAGCATTAGGCTGCGGACTGCAGTGTCAGAGGTTCAAAGCCAGCAGCCCCTAGGTTTGCATCTTTGGGTTCTTAGGAGACATAGGGGGCAATCTGCTCTGCCAAGGTTTGTGGTCTCAGAAACCCTGTATCGAGTCCCGATGGCTTGGAGTGAACTCGATGGCAGTGGGTTTAGTTTTCTTCCTGGAGGGAGGGGCTGGGTTGGTGGAAGTTGATGGGGAGTCTGAACTCCTAGTCCAGGTGGGGCCTAGAGGCTGGCGGTTTGAGTTATCTCCGTCTTCTTGCCTTGATTCACACTCTTATCTCTCCCCTCCCACTTTGAATGAACCTTGAGCTTCCGTTCTATGGTGCCTCCCCTTAGTCCCTATCCGGACAACTGGCCGTCTTTAGGGAGGGCAGGTTTGCGCAAGGACGGTGGACCTAGTAGAATGTGCAGAGAGCAGCCAAAGGGTGAGCCTTCCCTGTGGTTGGGCTCCTGCTCGGCTTCCTTGCTGACGGGTGCAGCTCCGATTGCTGTGTAACAAACCACCCCATGTAACCATGCCAGGTGACTGTCGAGCCCCTCCCAACCCCTGGTGAGCCATGAGTGTCAGAGTAGACTTACACTCCATAGGACTTTCCTCTTTGGGAAGCCGATCACACCAACCCTTTCTGCCAAGATGTTTCTGGCTGGACTTGAAATGCCAATCCTCCAATTAGCAGCTGGACATATGAACAGTTTGCACTGCTGCCCGGGCTCCATCTCAAACTTCCTTAAGCCTCTGTGCCATCGAGTTGACCCTTATACCGATACTCTAAGGCAGGGTGGATCCGCCTCTGTGCCTCTCTGAGATGGTAACTCTTTATGGGAGTAGAAAGCCTTGTCTTTCTCCCAGGGAGAAGCTGGTGGTTTCGAACTGCTGACCTCGTGAATAGTAGTCCAACATGTAACCACTATGCCACCAGGGCTCACACTTAGCGATACAGAAGACAACTGTTTGTTATTAAGGACACTTCGGACTCTGCTTCCTAATGTCCTCAGTCAGGATGATGTGGGTGACAGGGGACCGGACAATGCAACCCATGATGGTATCACCGATGGCTCCAGCACAGTGGCAGAGAGAGCGAGGGGTGGGGCCGGGCTTGGCCGAGTGATCGGCCTGCTGGTTTCCGTTCTAGCCTGGCCGGGCTGGGGCATTCATATTCTTACATGGTGACAGAGGCTTTCCAGAAAACGAGCTGGGCGTGCCATGGTCTTTTCTGGCAAACTTTGGCTGTATGTCACTTGTGTTAAACCCCCTGAATTGAAGCAGACCCGAGCCTGCCCAGTGGTCAAGGAGAGGGGACCCACAACTCAACTGGAAGCATGTGACAGAATGCCGGACAGCCATGATTTACAGCCACCATCTGACACAAGTGGGGCAGACCAGGCCTGACACAGGGCAGGCTTACTCTGAGCCAGAGGGTGCTTCTTCCAGGTACTCTGGATGCTAACCGGTAGCTCTTTGCCAGCCTCAGAGCTCAACTCACCTTGGTGGATGAGCTGAGGAGGGAGGGGCACAGCGTCGGTCCCTGCAGAAGATAGAGGTTGGCTGAGTGGGGGGAGAACAACCACCCGCCACCGGGCTCTCCCTCTCGAGCAGTTAAAAAGCAGTAATAAATAGATGAGAGCCTGGGAGGTGTGATTGATTTGTTTTATGAATCACAGAAGAGGCCCTAACTCATGGGAGATTAGGGCTGAAGGAAGTGGTACGGCTCTTGCATTACACGTGGAGATTAATGACTGATCACATGAGCTCCCACCGTTCACCCGGCTCGCCCACGGGAGTTTAATAGCAGGCCACACCGGCTGACTTTCAACAGTTGAGCAAATTCTCCCAGCTTGTGTGTGTGGCCCTGATTCTCATGCCTGGTGAGAGCAATGAGGGCTGGGGCCTGGGGAACTGGGGAGCGGCCGCCCTCTTCAAAAGAGGAGCTAAAGATTTCCAAGGATACCCCTTTCTTCCCAGCTTATTTCCACCCCTCCTGCTCAAAGCAGTGAGCAGAATTTCTCAGCAGGGCTGAGTGTGGATTCCAACCCTATTACAAACACCAACGGGCATTCACAGAGCCCAGGGGGTGCTGCCCTGAGGACTTTGTAGATCCTTACTGGAATCTCACATCAACTCTAGGAGACCCTTGTGGGGAACCTCCTTCTACAGACGGGAAGATGGGCTGGGGGTTGGAGAGCCCCATGGAAGGAGCGTGCTGAGGTCCCAGGGAAGTGGGCTGGAATCTGGAGTGTGCTGCGTCTTCCTCGCAGACTTGCTTACTCTTGGTGTTCCAGGTCCCTCATCTGCATGATGGGTCATTGTGTGAGTCCGGGTCCTTTAGAGAATCCAATCCACAGCAACTCATGTCTAAGAGAGAGTTTTATGTAAAGATTAAGTGTGCATCAAGAAAACATTCCAACCCCAGTGCTGCCCAAGCCCACAAGTCCAACATTAACCCTTTAACCCATATGTCCAACACCAGTCAACAAAGTCCTCCTCCATCTCACAAAACACACACAATGATGCCGACTGCAGGAGGAAAGCCAAGTCAGTGAATGTGTAAACATCTCAGTGCTGGCAGGGGTCTCCACACGGCTGCTTCAGCACTCAGGGCTGCATCAGGGTAGACCCATGTGGCTTCTCCCCAGGGATGTCTTGCAGGAAGTCAGCCTTGCCAGCTAAAGCAGGGAACTGGCTAAGGCAGCTGCACCCTGATCAGACAATCAGAAAGCAAGAGACCCGAGACCTTGAAAGGCGAGGGTCACTGAGCCATTTATCCCTCCGCCCTTCAATTAACCCCACATATGTTTATTGGCCAGGTTGGTACAATAAACTAACTACCTCAGTCACGTAGATCTCTTGGCAAGCACTTAGTAAGTGCTCATTGAAGTCATCCTGGGACATTGCTGGGGACAAGAAGGGGTGGTGGTGGGAAAAGTCCTCATGTGCTCCAGGGACAAGCCCGCCAGGTTGCAGATGCCTCTGGGCCTTAGGGGAGCTCAAAGTCAAGGTCAATGGGGTTGGCAGATTGGCTGAAGAGGCCTGGGCTGGAGAAGGACGAGGTGAAGCCTTGGACTTGGCTAGGACATGAGGTCCCAGCAGAGATCACAGGATGCCATCTGGTGTAGACTGTGGTTAGGAGAGTCCACTGGAACCTTAGGGCCAGGCTCAGCCTCATCACTCCGCTCTCCATCATGGTGCACTGGACAAGAGACCCTGAGAGGTTGTGGTAGCCTTGCCTAGAGTCTGGAGTTCGTGACGGTCCTGGCGGGATTAGGAACCTGCAAGCCCACAGGAAGCCCTTGATAGTCCTCACCTAAGCTTGGGGATTGTCCACCTTCATGTCTCCGCCCCTTGACCGGCACTGTCTACCTGATAGAACTGGGGCTGGAGGCCCCACTTGCCATCATGGTCGTCATCCACTGAGTGTCATGGGACATCAAACTTTCTACCCACCCGGCGCTGGTCCCCCTGCCCACAATGAAGACGTCGCTGGATTTTCACAGCCCTCCATATCTCAATCGCCTCTCCCACACCGCTTAGGAATGTGCCTTCCACTGGACTCTCCTCAGGTGAGTCCCCCTAAACTTGATTCCTGGAGCCCTAATGTTAAAGAGAGGACTGTACCTTGAAGCGTCCTGGCCTGCCTCTAGGGTGCACCACTTCTTCCCATACCCCCGCCACAGTGAGGCTCATAACCCTCATATTTATTGATTGCATTGGGCTCCGCGGCAAGTTCTTTATATTTCCCACGTGAGCGACTCCTCTCAGTGGATGCACCCACCCTGCCCCTTGCCCCCTTGCCCACGCTCTTCTCCCTTCTTGCTTTGTTTTCCCGAATAGCATGCGAAGCCTTCTATTTTACAATATGCTCACCCAGTCTTCTCATCACCAGCCTCTCTGCCTCCACCAGATGGGAAACTCCACACGGTTTGTCTGGTGTGGTTGCTGCCGTCTCCTCAGCCCTAGACACTTTCTGACACATAGTAGACACTCCTTCCATATCTGGAGAATCAATTGGATGAAGAAATCCCTGTGACCTTTTAGGGATCCAGGTCTTCCAGATGTCTGCGCCTGACTCCCAAGCATCTGCTTTGTCCTCACCTGCCTCGGGGACCCTGACCCCTGGCCAGCTCCCCTGAAGCTGGTTGGTCTCTACACTGGCCATTCCCCTTTGCTCCCTGGATTTAGTCTTGGCCTCTGGCCTAGGCTTTCCAGGAAATGTGGACCCAGCTGGTTTCAGCCTTGACTGTGACATTCTAAAGTATCTCTGGGAGCTCACCTCCCCAGGTGGCAAACACATGAACGGAGACTCCTGGAGGATGTGTGGTCAATCCTGTGGCCACACAGCACACCTTTAGGGGAACCAGTCAGTCAGTAAGCACCTACTCCGCAGACCCGGAACACTTGAGGCCTGCCACTCGAGGCAGCCCCAGCTCTTCTGCACAGTAACATGCAGATGGATATGTGGGAAACCTCTAGGAGCGTCCACTCCTATCAGCCAAATGGGTTCATGACGCTGAAATGCAGCTTCAGTGAGATACGTTTTGAAAGGAAACTTAGCCGGCATATAGTAAGTGCTTCTTCTATGTTAGGGCTTATTGCTATTCCATATCCAGCCATCACTTTGTTGTATTGTGGTAGCTTGTGACTTGCTAAGCCTCATGCCAGCAGCATTTAAGAACCAGCAGGGTCACTTACGGTGGACAGGTTTCAGTGGTGCTTCCACACTAGGACAGACGAGGAAGAAAGGCCTGGTGATCTACTCTCCCAAGTCAGCTAGTGATGCCCCGTGGATCAATACAGAACATTGCTTGGCTGGAGGTCAAGCACCAGAGGAGGACGTTATGCTCGGGGAGGCAGAGGGCCAGCGTGGGGGAGATGGAGATGGATTGGCTCATTAGCTGAAATGAAGAACTCAGCTGTATTAGTCTAGGTACTTTGGAGAAACAAATCCACAGCGACTCACGTATAAGAGAGAGTTTTATGCAAAGCAAATGTGCATCACGAAAACACCCCAACCCAATGCTGCCCAAGCCCACAAGTCCAACATTAACCCATACCCAACACCAGTCCACAAAGTCCTTCACCTCACAAAGCAGAGGCAATGATGCCGACTGCAGGAGGAAAGCTGAGTCAGTGAACGTGTAAGCATCTCAGTACTGGCACCGGTCTCCACACGGCTGCTCCAGCACCCAGGGCTGCATCGGAATAGATCCATGCGGCTTCTCCTTGGGGATGTCTTGTAGGAAATCCATCTTGCAAGCTGAAGCAGGGAACTGCTAAGGCAGCTGCACCCGATGCAACCATCACAAAACAAGAGACCCGAGAACTAGAAAGGCGAGGCTTCACCACCCATTTATCCCTCCGCCTTTCAACCAGCACCACATGTGATTATCGGCCAGGCTGGCACAATTAACTCATCAGCTATGCCAGGTCTTGCGACGATGGCACAGGACTGGAACAAACAAAGAAAAACAGAACGTCCCCGCCATTGAGTCGATGCTGACTGCCCGTGACCCCAGAGTACAAAAGACAACGGGCCTTTTGGGCTTCTGAGACCAGGATCTTTTTTTTCTTTTAGAAGAAAAGATGGGGTGGGGGGAAGTGGGGGAGAATTTTGACTGCAGGTAGGGAAAGATTCATTCAGCAAGATCTAGGAAGCATCCCCAAGATGGATTAATGTAAAGGTCAAAATGACCCTGAGTCAGGAGATACCATGAACACTTCCTCTAAGGTATAGATTGATACAACTAGGTTGGAGAGCAACCGAGCCATCTGCTGTAAGCCTGAATATGTGCATGGCGCCCCATCCAATCTTATACCTAAAGAAGGAGACATATACAAGAATGCTTATGACAACATTGTTTGAAGAAAACTTTGGAAAACATGTCTATCCTTCAGTCCACCAAACTCCAAACCCATTATGAAGTCGGTTCCCACTCGACAGGTCAAAGGAGAACGGTCCCCCATGACTGTCACTCTGTACGGGAGCTGATGGCATCCTCTTTCTCCTGAAGGGCAGCTGGTGGGCTCAAGCTGCTGCCCCTCTAACTCACTGTGCTCTCAGGGTCCCTTCATCTCCCCATCAGGGAACCAGCCCTGGTGGGGTAGTGGTTATGAGTTGGGCTGGTAACTGCAAGGTCAGTAGTTCGAAGCCATCCGTCTCTTGGTGAGAGAAAGACAGGGCTTTCTACTCCCATAAAGAGTTACCGTCTCAGAAATGCACAGGACAATTCTACCCTGTCAGCATCGATCAATGGCAGTGAGCTTGAGCTTGAATTCATCACAATCCTTGGGGACAATTAAGATGACGAGGGAAGTCCTAATGCTCGATGTGCATAATCCTAACAAATAGATCCTAGTCTACGGATAAGTGAGATATGTTAGTATTTAAAAAGAATAACAAGAGATAAAGCCACGTTTGCTGCACAGAGGTTATGTAAGCAAATGATAAAATTATAATAACATGCTCAGGAATGAACACAAAATTTAGGGTAATGGCTATTCTGAGGAAAGAAAGGACACGAATAAAATTGTTTCTTTTACTTTGTGGTGGATGTTGACTATAGTTATACTTTTTCATCAGATTGAAGTTCATTTTAATTATTTCACAAAATAATTTTAAAAGCTTAACAATAGATGATTTTTTAAATTTAAAGAGATTGTTTACGAAGTCTTCCAGGGGACAGGGACAAGACAACTACAGAGGGGTGCGTCGTCCAAATGAGGGAGACCCAGGCTGTGAATCTTGACGGGGAGAAAGCTTCATCCTCTCCTGTGGAGCAGCTTCTGGGTTCGAACTGCTGGCCTTCTCGTTAGCAGTTCAGCTCATCAGCTACTAAGCCACCAGTGCTTTAGGCAACATTTTGTTCTGTTCTTCAGACGACTGCCAGGAGTACACGTACACATACATAACTACAGGTGTGTGCATGCGCATGCATGTGCGTGTGCATGTGTGTGTAGAAAACATGAACATTTGCCATTTCAACTATGATGGCGCGTACAATTCAGAGACATTAATTAGTCGCCATTTGTGTACCTATCACCTCTCCAGCAAAATAATGATGCCTGGCATATGGCCTTTTGGGACCATAGGATGATCTAGGCTTCCGGTTTGTTCTCTCTGTCCAGAAAGGGCATGGGACGTGGCTGAATGGTACAGAACTTGCTGGAATTCTGCTCCATCCCTTGCCAGCTGTGAGGCCCTGAGTCAGTCACCACGTTCACACAGCACTCTTGGTTGATGCTGCCCTTCTACTGGTTTTGTGCGCACCGTCTTGGGGGAGGGGCCATGGCTCTCTTGCCCGCTGGCAAAGGGACCTTTGTAGCCTGTGTGCTTGGGGACCTGAAGCCGAGGGTGACTGATCACAGCTCTCTGTCCCCTGATTGGGACAGCCCTGGGATGTACCCTGCTCTGTTTACAGAGCTGCCCTTTGGGACGGAGCCCGATTCACCCTCCTTGGGAGCTGGCCTGACAGAATCCTCTTGCTGACTCTCTTCCCTTCCTGCCCCACTTCCCAACTCCCTACTACTTCCTCCTGGGTCTACTTTCTTAGCAATCACTTTCTCAAGAATCTTTGTCTTTAGACAAACTCTTAACAGCCAAGCATTCTGGCCAATATGCTTCAGAAATATCACAGTCCAAGAAGACAAAGCAGGGTTGAGAAAAGGTTCCAGCTTCCGGGAGACTACAGAGATGTAATCACCCAACGCAGTGTGTGATCCTGGGTTGGATCAAGACTCGGGCCAAATAAATGGCTTATAAAAAGCATTGTGTGTGTGTGTGTGTGTGTGTGTGTGTGTGTGTGTGTGTGTGTGTGTGTAGATAACTGACCACATTTGAGCACAGACTGCGTAAATAGAATGTTAGGACAACGTTGCACTTCACGATTTTCATAACTGCACCGCGATGATGTAAAAGAATGCCTTTGTTCTTAGGACCCGAGTATGGAAATATTTAGTGGGAAAAGGCCCGGTGTTTCCCAACTTGCTTTCAAAGGGTTCGTACAAAAAACATAAAATCTGAGTGAGCAAGACAAAGAAAGCAATTAGAGGGAAAAGTGGAATAATTGGTGACTCTAGGTAAAGGGCATATTATTATTCTTGGTGGTGTTAGATGTCATTGCCCCCTCCCCGCACAAGGGACTACCATGCTGCCAGGTCCCGCCTGCACTGCTGCTTGGTCTGGATTGCTCCACTGTAATCCACAGGGCTTTAGTTCCCTCATTGCTGGAGCTCGATCTCCAGGCCTTTCTTCCCAGGCTTCCCCTAGTCTGGACGCTCCACCCCGACCCGGTCAGCAAGCTGGCGACTTACACTTCTCCACTGACAGCGGGCAGTGCTGCACATGAGGTGCATTGACCAGGAAGGGGGGGGGAGTCTGCCATCAAACCACCACTACCCCAAAAGGCGCATAGGTGTTCCTCCTACTGTTGTTGCAACTCTTCCTTAAGCTTACAAGGAAAGAGAAAGAAAAGAAACCGTGGTCTCCTGGTCTAAATGGCTGATAGCTGGGGAGCCATCTGGCCTGGTGCTTAGAGACTCTTTCTCCCTCCCTGTTTTGGGAATCGCACATTCTGGGGCACAGGGCTCCCAGTGTTTGCAGGGTCCCAGAGAAAAGCACGCGCGCTGCGTTCCCCCTCTTCTCTGGCTGCACCCTTGCTTTCTCTCTCTGCTTGGCTCGTCTCTTTGCAAAACCCGTCCTTTGTCTGCAGCTGTGGTCAGTGATTTTTTTCATAGATTAAACGAAACTCCGGGTGGGGGGGTAGAGGGGAAGTTTTTCCTGGTGAGATCAAAGAGCCAGCCTAACATAAAAGAAATCTTATAAAACTATATATACGAGGAGCAAAACAAAACAAAAAAATCCGCAACCCAGGAGCATAATCCATGTGTCAGAGTCACTGTGTCCAAACTTCTGGGATCTTCTCTATAGAGCTGCCAACCGAGGCAGGAATGTTGCCTCATCTCGAAGAGGCTGCTGTATAAAAAGGAGACTTTTATGGACTTTGGCACAGGCACGAGACGGGAACTGTACACCCAGGGCTTTGTAA